ACACAGCATTAGAGCAAATTCTGACTTCCACAACAGCGTGTTCATTTACAGCAGTACAGTAAAGTCTAATTATCCAAATATCATCAAATTATCCAATTGTCATCCAGATATTATATCAATATTATATTATGAATTATAATAATTAATATCATGCTATAAAATATTATATTATCCAAATATTATCCAATTATCTATGTCATTTTAATATATTTTTCCGTATGTTAAACGCTGATAAAACCAGAAAAATAATGTCACGCTTACTCGGATGATGTAAAAATGGCATAAAACGACTGTTCTTCTTCCACGTACTCCACGGCACGTACAAAATTCAACGAATCAGATTCGCTAACACCGCAGACCAAACGAGCCTTCGTAAAAGTTGTCCACTAAAACGGTGAAGTCATTTACTATACATCTACTTTAAATCAAAAGATGCGATTTTAAACAGTTGAGTTTTGCAGATAACATCGCTGCCATTTTGAAAACGATAAATAACCGTTTTGGTTCACTGCGGGAAGAAGATACTATCAACTTTGCTTCAACACAGGATACGGAACTGCAACTCCGCTGATCATTTCATTACGACAGTTATAATTAATTCAGCTTCAAGAGAACTGAAAAAAAGCCAAGTAGAAAAAACCAAGTAGCCATGCATCTCAAAAGTTCTAGCAGATTAACGCATACTAGTGTCATAATTAATGCCATAAACGTCACCTTCTCTTTACAGAATACGAACAAACTTTCCCTGCCCTGTCTGGATGATCGTATTTCCGTGTTTATCACAAAGTTATCGCATATATGTTAATATTACAGAAGATACTATTCGCTCTTTGTTGATTTGTCACTATTCTAGCAATTTCAGTAAAACATAGAAAATCGCCTTTTTGCAGCGTCAACCTTTAAGATTCTGGTAAAAATCGAAAAATTTTTTAACCAATCCAACAAAGAACTCATATCAGTGTTTACTCAGGTAGTTAGAGGAAAACGAACAACATGTCGACAAATAAACACTGCGAAAAAGTCAGTTACTGTAGCGCCTTGGGCAAGCAAATATGTAGAAAAATTCTACAGCAACCTTAAAACAGCTTGCAGCTTACCATATAGCTCATAGCGAGCAAAAGTTAAACAAAAACTAAAATTTTTTTAATCACACCACAATTATAATTGCGTATAACAGTATATATCAACACCACTCATTATCCATTCAGTCTGTCTTGCATCATCATCTGTTCAGAAACTACATGGCAATGTGCAATGTCTATACTTCTCATGCATATTTTTGGCTTTCGTGGTTTTCATCATAGTGCATACTAGTCATATACTGATGAATAACCATAGTACAACGTTCACATCCTATGTCGCTATATTGTCATTATATTAGAAAAGGGTTTGAACGAATACTTCTCTGAAAAATGACACACATTTCTATTACCAATTAGGCCTATTATCTCAAAACACGATTGCAATGGCGGAAACCTGCAATAACGCCGAATTCAGTTGGAAAAACAGTGTTAGCCAGATTTTTTACTTTTAAACAAAATCTGCATAAATGCAAATTGCATTAGAACTAGGAGACAAAATGTGCAATCATCGTATTCCTTATAATGGCCGTAAATAACGTTTCAAAAAACCCATTCCTATTCTCGAATAGGTCAGTATCATAGTACTGCACGAAGATAGTCGTTCTAACGAAGGAACAAGAAACTACAGTTGAACTGCATACAATAGTTAATCTCCGTAACTGCTGAGATTAAAAAAAGGAGATTATTCTTGACCCGAGAATTATTCGGTTCGAACACACTCCATTAACTGCAGCCCGCGAGCTACCTGTGTGAGAGCCAAAACACTGCAATGTAGATAACGAGGCCCACGTAACATGGAGGAACAAGGTAGAAGCAGACCTGCTTTTTGAGAGCAGTATTTCTTTGTACGATGCAGTAACCGGTGCTTTACAGCAAACGTGTCGAAAAACAGCGATTATACTGGGCATCACAAACACATTCTGTGCTTCTGCAACCGCTAAGATACCACCAACGAACAAAATTTTGACGAAGATCGTTAATTCTACAGAGAATCTGATGATCAAATAGAACACGCTGAAACACGCTTGACAAAAGTGCAGTATCAATCTTTGTAATATCACTTACATATCCGTGAAGCCGTATTGTTCCGCCTATATCATTCTTACACACCCTGGCAATTCGCGCATATGTCACCTAAATATATTGCAACGTTAATGATTAAAAATTATCTACGAAACCCTCTAAAATAATACTTTTCCAGAACTGAGTACTTCCATTGCAGTTTCACGAAAGAAGAAGTAGACAAAGGGATCAACGTCGAAAGCAGCAACGAACACTGGCTCTATAATAAATCATTTTATCCACTCGTTTCAAGTCAAATTTCTACTGGTGATGGAACTAACGTAAAATACAAGTGATTATGTAACAATAAAACAATTATAAACGGAATCAAATAGGGTAACTGAAAAGATCAACATAGCAATAAACGGAAAGGAAATACTTTATAAATAGATGACATGGAGAAAGACAGCGGCTTTAGACATGGGGAAATTTCGAGACTGGAATCCATCAAAAAAACTTCCTTCAGTGAATGAGCCAATCAGTCAGTCAGACAGTGAATGAGTGTGTGAGTCAGTTAGTAAGCAATGTCAGACCCACAACGCTCAAGTCTCAGGTTACTGAATATTTATACAATTACATGTACGATACGGAGAGATAAAGACTTTTCCTAACTATTTGCGGTGCGGAAGTTAAGCACGACTTCTGATGTCCAAAATTATATGACTACTTCATTCAACAGGCAGGCCAAAAAGCGATAACGAGAGATTGAAGGCACCGCAGTAAAAAAAGCTAAATTTTGCATGACAAACCGATAACTCACCTGTGCTACACTCAGACCGACAAACTGCTAGAAACTTATACGCTCATCGTTCAAGAAATTAATGGCATCTGAAGGGACTGTCTACATCGAATTTGTTAAATATGAGGACTAATAATCGATCCGATATGAAAACATAAATACATTCAAAGTGTTTCCATGCACAGTCGTTCAATAAACAACCAGCGAACTACAAAAAATGCTATTAATACCATTAAGAGAAAGGCTGTTCGCCTTTTCAATCCGAAGAAAGAGGCCATCAGGCATCATTCGCAGGAACGACGAATCGTCACCACTAGTATCTATACCGACGCCCGTGTACAAATGGTTTTCGCGAGAGAAAAGGTACGTGTGATCGTAACGCGGACTGAAGGGGACATACCCAATGCCGTTGAATGGATCTTGGACGCTGGCGGATAAGCCATTAGCCTGAAATATAAATAAAAAATATGGGCAAATTTAATGAGCTGGTCGCAGTTACATTCCGCCACATACAAGCTGGAGAAAAGGCGTTCGTGCCGCAGATCAGCAACGAACTGTCGTCTTTCATTATTAACATACGAATGAAGTTTCGACAATCGAACTAAAACAGGAATCGTAACGAGTTGAAAAAAACACAGGTACGATTTACTTTGTCTGACCATCGCATTAAACAAGCTTCAACGCTGTCCGACGACGCCAACCACTCAAACTTCTCAAGCGGTGCTAGCGATTGCTCGTTCAGGCGAAAGACGTGATCTCTAAAATTCTCGTGATTACTTTTCTGTCGTTTACACCTTGGACCATTTCGTCAAATACCAAAGAAGAAATTTATGCCTTATGTATAAAAAAATTCATTATTGGAGACGTTATTAATGAGTTTTAAAAATTCAGCCTTTCTTCTACATGGTGGGGAATAGAAAATTAAATGCACTGTTTATTCTTAACTACAATAACCACGAATATCCTTTTTAAATCAAAACGACCATCTAATGACGTAGTGGTACAGAGAGCAATTGGTAATACCTCTAGCAGCATTGTAAAGCAAGTCTATTAAGATTCTTCATGCCACAAACTGAGAACTAACGATGAAGTCATTTTTCATATTCATCTCAACGGTAATACCTGGATCTTGAATAGTCAAACTTCTACCTCTCATGCAACTGTACTGAGAAATCATCTCCGATTTCTTAATTGTTCCATTGATGAAATATCGCTTTACTAAACGGAAGGAAATGAACGGTCTTACATAACCGAATAGAAAATACGTTGTATTTCGACAGGGCACTTGAAGTGCACTGTCCCAGAGAGAAAAGCAGCTACAGAGTGAAATAATTTATTAATTAACAAGGCAGACCTTACGAAACCTGAGAACCGTACACATTAATGATGCTATTGCAGGTTTCATGACACGGGATTCGTTATAATCACAGATTGCAATGCGGTCCGTCAATTACGAAATCAGATTAAAAAGTCTCTTAATTATTTGGACTCTTACTTCAAATAGTTTTATGCGACATTTGCCACTAACTTTTTTTCTATTCATACGATCCGTCATATCGTTTTATAGCTTGACAGATATCTATGTGGTACAATTTATCTTATGCGAACTATTAACCTAAACATTTTCGCTACTGTACTCTGTGCTGCTACCGTACATGGATGAAGTAGCACCATTTCCTGTTCCGAAAGATCAGCAATGTAAATGAGTGGTTTACTCAAACCATTGACCACTTCTTAGCTGCTTAGTCATCTTACAGATGTATTATGAACAGTAGAATACTGCAACCCCAGAAAGACGAGGAATATCGAAGGTAGTGACTGTATGCAATCCATCGCAAAAAATTCAAACCGATAGAGGTTCTGCTTCTTTGAACGTTACTATAACGGGGTTAAATGCCCCCGTAGACAAATTAAAGCAGTTGTGTGCACGCCGTATTTTACCTCGAAGACAATGCTCGTACGTGACGTCGAAACACATCAACTAAAAACGGTTTAACATCGTAAGCATATGGTTTGCCCTGAACCAGGAATCAAAAAGAACTGCTGTGCAGCAATTACTGCAAAAGGCATGGGACTGATACTCGGTTTCAGAGTTTTCTATCAGTATAAACCGCCATAGTTACCTGGCTCCAACTATGACTTGGTTGTGTTTGTCGTCCAGTAGAATCGGCCGAAAATCAACGATGCCTTTCTGCTCGAAATAAATCAGTGTCTGACTTACTCCTAAACGGAATCAATCATAAGTAGGCAAAAAAGTCATTCATATTGTAGTTGTGATGCAGCCTACCTTCGTAAGGAACCTTTATCGTATCGTCATAGAGACTGAACATCACTTCAGCGGTAACAAAGTTTTCGACTGCAACGACGTGGCCAATGTACAAAGCGAACAAGACAAACACGTACAATGGAAACAAAGTGTCCATGCTTTCAACAGATCCACCGCAGTTTCTGCATGACTAAGCGACTCGAATCGAACCAAACGCTTATCCTTCCTAAAAAGAAAAACTTAAGCATTAGGAATTCGACTGCTTCAAGAACTCATTTCGATTATGCGCCAAGACTGACATAACGATACTGCTTTTTTGTTTAATGGCTTTCGCTTTAGAGAAAGGTTAATTAACCGCTGCTGATATTTCAACCAAGCAGCGGTTGTCTTTTACAGCATGTTTATGTTGAGTCAAATTCGGCCACTTGCGGAAAATCTTGAAATGCTTTGGGACACTTAAGCACATCGCGTCCATCCTGGAAGAGGATATACTGTCAAAGTCGAAGCAGAACTATCTGAATTGTTCAGTATTAGATGATAACTTCGCCTTAACTATTCAGCTTTTTCTCGGCCTTCTTCTACGAAACGGTGTTGACCGGGCAAACCAAAGGTCTCACTGCAGAAGGAAGCTGCAATGCAACATATCCGGCAAGATACCATGCGGACTCGGAATATTTAGAAGATATTGTTCTCGTAAGTAATATTCCGGAAGTCAAAAATTACGAAGAACACATCCTGCACAGCTCATCTAACGTTGGAACGGAGAACTGAAGCACTACAGGAGGGGCAAATTTAAATATCTCGGATTCAGCAGCTTTCAAGAATCTGTCCAATATTTGGGCTGAGAAAGAAATTACCCTTTCCACAAAAATCCACTTGCACCTTGTCTCTGCAAGGTCAGTTTTGATGTACGATAGAGAAATAACTATATACTTCTATTGAAGGAGCAATAATGACTAGTGAACTGTGCACAGCGGCGTTGGATTAGATGAATTATAAGGGTTAAATAACAGAAACATTTATGGAGTGACTAGTCTCTTCCGGTACAGATGAGATCGGCAGCTGCTGAGATTACGAAAATGAGGTTGACCATATCAGACAAACTGGCTGAGCATAAATCATTTATTCCAGCCTATGAGCTTCTCATCTTCAAATGTAAGAATCGAAACATGCCAAAAGTCCACCTAGAGGATAGTATGCAAACTAAATAAACAAAGAAGAAGTAGGTTTCACCTAAAGGAGTATTTCCTTCTACGATGCAGTAACCGTGCCTAATGGCAATGGTACTGAAAGGTTGCATATACAGCGGACATCGCAAATCAGAGACGTCCTGCTATTCAAACTGCTCAAAATGATGATTTCCACAAACACTTCCATTTTCTGCAAGCGAATCACTGCTGGCATGAATTCTCGCCGGAACAGTCACCTTACAACTATTTTATGTCAATAAGTAAGCACTGCTATATGGAAAGAAAGCGAAGGCTATACGATGTAAATATTTCCTCTAAAAAAGAAAAATACAATGGGCTCTTGGCTCATGGCATTGTAATGGAAATCAGCGCAGCACCATAAGATTTATGAAGGAAATTGTGTTACAAATAGCGGCAATCATTTAAGTTTGCGGGAAAGGACGTAACGACGATTACAAACTTGACTTTGTTCCTTTCCTTTCACTAGAGTTTTGGCAGTAATTAATTAGCAGGTTTTATCGTCGGTTTCTGATCGCATATCCCAGTAACTACCAATCAATAAATCATTCAGTCACCTTCCAGAATATCCATCAAACATCATTGTCCAGTGCTTATAGGGGCTTATAAATCCATTTAAGCAAGTCATAACTCGGTGTTATTATGGCATCTACAATGTATGAATACCAAACTCCAGAGTATGAGCTGGAACTTGCGTAAATGGATCTTTATGCTAGTACTAGACGCAACGAGGTAAAACCTCATGTGCAAACTCGTAGAAATTACATCGACACTAAATAACCACTATAATACGGGTTTCTGGAGACAAAGCTACAACCGTTTGATTTCTGTCATTAATCATCAGACCTGCAGCTTACCAAATAGCAAATAAAATCAGATATAATCAGATGCATTGAAGAAACCACTGACGACCAAAGAATGCAAGCAAGCCAGATGCAAGTAGATTATTTATGAAAGATGTGACAAATAAGTTACGCTGAATCAGCTTCAACCTGTTATACATGAGCAAATGCAAGTCATCTTTTGCAAACGTACTATTTATATACGAATTTATAAAAAATATGCTTAAAGAGGCTTAGGAAACAAGAACTTTCTGCTAAACTTACAAAAATCGTTGCTCCATTGGTGCCCAAAACCAACTTATCGAAAGATTAAGTTCACAGAAATGAGTATCATAGCGGTCATCAGCGATGAACAACTGGGAGGGAGGAATTACCCAAAAGTTATAAAATAGAATGGTGTAATAAGCGGCTACGATTCTAATTCGATGGAGTGTGCCGCAGAGATAGCAGAAAACCAGACCGAAAATGAAGACGACCTGTCTCGGTGAATACTGTACGGAATGCGATAGAAATTTTCAGCTTTCCAATAGATGCGATGCAATATGAGAAAACGCCATGTACTGCAAAGGTAGAGTAGCACAAAGAATATATCAATCAAAAATTTTGAGTTGCCAATTCCGGAGGTTGCGCAACACTCAGTAAAGTTAGATCAAGCTCCTCCCCCCAACAGTCAGATTGCAGGACATCGTTAAAGAAACTAAGTACCGGCCCAACAGTGGCATCAAAGAGGGATTAATCATCCACTCATGCAAAAATGTCAACGAGCACGAAGGATACGAACTTTGCAAGACTTGTTAAGTCTACTGCCAGAAAACTACTCAACTAGCTGCACACCTTTCGGCTCTATAAGTTAAGACGACAGCTGCGGATTACAGAACGAACTTCGGAAATCAACTCTGTCCACGCTAAAGAACGTCTATGAGACAGAAGCTGAAACGTCGCTGCTGGTTAATCATCCGAATGACTGATTTGTTGGCATTCTGAATGCATAATCCGAGGTTATATAGTTACATACAGTTTCAATATGATCACCAACACACTCGCTGCCGTTCCCGTCACACCTTATCTGACGTGCCATTATGACATCGCGCTGCTACACCCCCAGTTACCAAAAAACGCGAAGATACACCCCCAGCTGTCAGAAGAGTTGAAGCATGTTCTGACTGCCGACTTTTGCAGTCAGCGGTCAATCTGTCAGTCGGTCAATCGGTCAGTCGGTCAGTCGGTCAGTCAGTCAGTCGGTTTCGATGACCGATCATCGTTTCGAGTCGCTAAGACTCACGTGTTAGACGGTATTTCCAACGTTCCCGAAGTTGTGCCAACGTTTGAGTTTCGGCAGAAGATAACCAGAGTCTGGAGCAGAGTTCGCTCATTAACTTGCCCGAAGTTACTCTTGGTCATCCCCGGGTCTTCGGCCCGTTGTTTGGGCAAGTAGCAGCCAGTTTCGCCCTCCAGTTCGTCTTTGTTGGGTGCTTTCGTTTGCCAGAAAGCCTCGCTGCTCGAATGCTCCTCGCCTGACGACGAAAAGCGGTCGAACGTGGCTACCTGCCCTGCTTGCGTTGCTCTTTCTTGGTCTTTTGTGTTTCGGCGTTTTTTAGACTATGCAAAAAATGATGGACATTCGCTTTGTTGTAAACAGCTTTCAACACTTCGTACCAAATGCTCCTATAACAAAGAAGGGCGTACACAGCGAGGTTTTTGTTGTCTGTATCGCAATCAGCTTCGAACCATACGGATCAAAACGTGTGCCTTGTCGTCGATTATGGCTTCGATCTGCTGACCGTTTCAAAAGCCTTTCTGTACTTCAGTGCGTCAAAATCATATATATCAAACTAAAGTTGTACGACTATAAATCGCCTCATGAATTCCTCGAAACCAGATGAATTATCCGATGCTTGAACTTCGTGGTGTGCAGTTAAATTATGATTTTCTGAACGGGCAAGGAAAAATTACCGAATGAACGTGAAAATCAGGAGCAAGTTTTGACAACCAAACGACGTCCACGTTAAGTGGCAACCCAAAAACGTCGAAGGCAGAGAATGCTAAGGAGAACACATTAGTTGGGTTTAAACGACCTCAGCTTTCGTTACCGCGAAGAACCCGCAGGGAAAGAATCTTACAAGCAATCAACAGGTGTTTTTCTGACAAAAGTACTGGTCTCGGTCCTATGAAGAAGCTAGAACAAATTTCACAACACTATAAAAAAGTCAAATCCTGGATTGTAAACAATCAGTAATTACGCTGCTCCTCTTTTATAATACACATTTTATAATCTTGTGACATGCGTACAGATGCGTGACCTCAATGCAGAAATACACGAAGGGCAATACACTGTTGGACAGCTATAACCAAATAAATAACGACAGACGGTGCCGCCAACAATGTCGACTAGGTTTGCTATTACAATACACTTTCCTCATTCAGATTTTTCGTGAAGGATTAGAGAGATATATCCCTTTAGATTTATTAGCCAACCGTTTCTGGATAAAAGACAGTCCTAGATGCCTACTGTAGTGACTGGAAATTATACACTCTTCCTCATTGCTCGTATACTTAACACTTAGACTGACAGGATGTGGACGCCATTACTGAACTTATAGTATCAAAAGTAAAATACGTAGAAGCACATTCTGCTCTACCGTTATAATATGACTGAAGATCCACAAAAACACATATAACAACTTTATGCAAAATGGTGCCTCAGTGGTTCTAGACAAAAAGAATAAATAAATGCAAATCTTTACAAGAAATGTCAACGTTTCAGCCAAAGTACATTGCTCATTCTCAGGGCAAACATGAGTGCAGTAGAACTGCAAAACACTACTGACACTCCAAACCATCGACACCGTGCTTATGCAAACGGCTCATGGTGACGGTCTCAACAAACATATGTTAGCGTGATAATCAGTGTAAGATGTTTACATGCACAAATAAATGAACAACAAACCCCTAACCTCGACTTCCTCGTCGAGGAGGGTGAGCAGCGACCAAAATATTAGATCGCATTCAAGCTTCAAATACAGGCATGCATTTTACTTAGTCATAAAAACTGATCATGAACCATGAAACTGTAGGTTCTAGAAATCAGGTATTGACAGATGCCGCCGTATCTTTTAAGGTAGTTCTGGTTTACGAGCAAGACAAATCGTCTGCAAACCAAATGCACAAATCCAAGTGCAAATATGGATGGATGAACTTGGGTTGGGTTCGCATCAACTCCTAAAGAAAGCAAGAAAAATCTTTTCATCCAGTCATTTACGGACGAAGTAAGTAAATAAGAAAACCAGTGCATAAGGTATGACATTTTAAGCCATACCAGAAACAGACAGCGTGTCCCCGTCGATCCTTCTTAACACTTGTCCAAGGTCGATCGAAACTGACGCAATGACATGTGATAAATGGCTGTTTCGTGTGCGACGTGACAACTTGTCAAAACATACATCAAGAAAATCACTACCGTCAACTAGACCACGTACTCTGAGGCGTTCGCGCTGGAATAACTCCGTCCGCAAACGTGCCGCCGAATACGAATTCGTGTTCGTGCTTCAACGATGCCCCGCGTCGATATCGTTCGAATCGCTACAGAGGAGGGGGTCATTGGCCAGTGCTGGCTTTCTGCAACTCACAAAGCGACATCCAGCCATACGGTGTTCTCTCTCCGGCAAATCCAAAGCCATATTCGGATATAATCCTAGTCCAAATCTCAGCTAATGACACGAGTCAGTAGCTGACAATGAGCTGCTGTCGCTCATCAGTAACGTGAGTTCTGACCTGAACTCACGGCCTAATTACTTAATTACTCCCGAGATCACCGCCACTGGGTACATCAAATCAGCCTTGTCAATTAAA